CATTACATTATTATAAGTTGGAACAATGGCAGATCCAACGCTTCCACGATCGCTTTTTGCCCGTTTCTCATAGTCGAGGCTACATTTGGACCTTCGATTCCACTACACCAACGATGGCGAACATCCTACTGTCCAGTCTAATCACGGAAGTATTCTACTTAACAGAAGTGCGATTCATTTGAGATGTCATTCTTCACGCCAACTTGCAAACACCACTTTTGTCAAGTACGTCGCGGCATGCCGAGACGAGGTGATGTCACCTGGACAAATGGGGAGGATATGGCCAATGCGAATGGGACAGCATCTCGAGCCCTCAAACAGAGTGGTTGACAAAAATGGTTGAGGAGAGCTGACTGTTTCTCAGCACGGCAACCCTTACCACGATCACAATAACGGCCTCTTTTTCCTGAAACACTGAGATACCACACCTTGACAAAACTTCCTCTTCTCGGCCATCCCTTTCATTCTTTGCCAGTGTCTTCTTGTTGGTGAGCTCCAACACTGGCGAAATTCCAACCAAACCACTCCAGGGACAATGACCTCGACAACATCGTCTTTACTCTTCCATGGGTGTGAGCAAGCTGTGGCTACGAAGTGCCTCTCCACACGTCGGCTGTTGGCTCGACGACGGACACACCGGATGCTTCATTCTCCCTTATTTATAGCACTTCGATCGCCCTTGACATCATGGCGATCATTTGCCCACATTGAGTTTGTCCATCAGTAGGTGTTGCTAATCAATCAGAGAAGGTGAACAAGGTCCCGAATTTCGAGACCTTCCAAACTGCTCGAAACGTGGACACCAGGAAATGAGACTTCTGGCAACACGAGATAGGAAGGTTATCTGAAGTTTGCGAGCATTCCTACCAAATTCAATGCTCTGCAATTAAAGGCTCTCTAATCTTTGTGAGATTGTACAGATGGGCTTTGAAAGGACGTGGAGGAAAGCTCTACGACGCTCACGTCGCCCAGTCATTTTCTATAGGAAGAGGAAGCATTTGGACTCAAGTAGTAGAAACAGGTTTTGAATTACCTTTCCCCATTGCTTGCCTAGATATCACAGTATTTTAAGTTGGAACAATGGCAGATCCAACGCTTCCACAATCGCTTTTCACACACTTCTCATTGTCGAGGCAACATGTGGACATTCGATTCCACTGCACCAATGATAGCGAACAGCCAAAGCCTTAGTCCAACCACACACGTATTCTGCATAGCAATAACTGGGATACATTTGACATTTCCTTCTTCACGTCACCTTGCACACACCACTCTTGTCAAGTACTTCGCGGCACGCCAAGACGAGGTGATGTCACCTGGACAAATGAGGTGGATATGGAGAATGGGTGTGGGACTGCATCTCCGATCTGTTGACAACAATACATGAGGAAATCCAGCTATAGCATGGCATGACAACCCTCATCCCGCCTACAATAACGGTTTCTTTTGCCTGATACACTGAGATACGATCTCTTGGATTTTTACCCTGTTTTGCGTTTAAGCTTGAATCCTGTCGGATTTTTACAACCACACTGAACAGGACACACTGACATCAACACGGTCGTCTTTATTCGTTGACGCTTGTGAAGGAGGCACAACCTACACTTCACCACGTGGACTACACTGTCTAGATGATGGCGACACCGGATGGTTCAGTCACAGTGGTTATTGGCCAGCATTAAGTTTGTCCGTCCGTGGGTGGTTTTGGCCAGGCAGAGAAAGTAAACAAGAGCGCGAGTTTTGAGGCCTTGCAAATTGATCAAGAAGTGGACACTAGCAAAGGAGACTTGTTGAAAATCAAAATGAAATGTTTTTTTGAAGTTTG